ATCGATATGATAAAGGATGAAGAACAATCGTATATAGGGAAGAATATATAGACGATAAGCCACGTTTCAGTTGTCGGATATATATCTCTTTCTTTTATCTTTTGTGTCTTTCTTTTTTTTTTTTTTTTTTTTTTTTTTTTTTTTTTTTGTTGCGCCATCTTACAACACCATTGTGATGTACACACACGCATAGGGAAAACCCAGTTAGAGATTTCTTTCTTCCGATAATCATGCGTGTAAAACGATGATCCGCACGACGATATATAACTGTTGCATCGTGTCGTTGACGTTTGATACGCGCATGGAGATTTTGCACGATCGTAATCGACGCGAACGAGGAGACCGCAGTTACAACGTTACCGCGTTGTAGTCACTGATCTTTATTCAGAGAGAATTTCAACCGTGGATATTTCGATTCTTACGTCTCGCAAACAGATAGCATCGTAAACATGTACAGTCGCTCTACATATATATATATATAAAAAATCCTCGTCGATCGATTCGATCGGACGAATCCCAAGTTCTACGGTCTTTGTTCGATCTGTTTCGTTTCCTTCGCTCGTTTCGCATGGGACGTGGACGAGTTCGAAAGCAACAGCGCAGATAGGAGAGATATATATAGATATATAATATTATACATATACTCGATGGTTAATAATAATAATAATAAAAAGAAAAGGAGAAGTAAGTCGTGCGCGCGCGAGAGAGAGAGAGAGAGAGAGAGAAAGAAAGAGAGAGAGAAAGAGAGAGAGAGAACGATCGCAAGCAGTAAGGAATAATCCAGCAAGAGAAATGTCCCCAACCCTATCCACAGACCCCCTCCCCCTTTCTACAATAGGAAATAGTTGAACGTGAAATAGCGATGATAAAACAATTATGAAATAGAATTATTGTATTCGCGAGCTCTGTCGAGGCGGAGGGCCTCTTCGTCGAAACAACGCGCGAGACCTCCATTTTTATTTTTTTCGCGATTCTCGCTCGTTGCTGCTCGCCGGAGGCTCTCCTTTCTGAATGTACATAGTGTGAAGTAGCTAGAGTTTCTCGTTTCTCGTACGATCCCCTCCACGCGTTCGAACCACGATTTGCCTCGTATCGATACGAAGATGCCCGAGTCTCGTTGAACGTTGCCTGTTTCTCTTCTTACGCCGTCGCCCCCTCCGCCCTTCGCCGTTTTTTATCAACAAACCGTAGAAAACCGAAATAATCGTACACAGTTAAGAAATATATCCTGATACATCGTGCCTCGAGAACCTGCCGATCGGATGCGCGAGCCGAACAAAACGGATCCTATCGTTCGATCGTTCGATGCTCGTCTTTATCCGTTTAAACGAACGAGACGTAACGAAAGTATCGGGCATGGAAACTGTATCCGTTGGAATAGTTGACGGAATCGTTAACTAGCACGCGTCACTGCCAACCTTCGAAAAACCATCTCGACAGCAATAAAAAAGTGTCGTCCCGTATCCGGTAGCCAGCGGGGGTTCTCGTAATACGACTTCTGCGAAGTAAAGATATTAATAATTCTATAATATAGAACTGTAAAGACAGGATTATTGTAAATGCGTGATTATCGATTACGGGCGTAGAGGAAGAGAAAACAACGAGAGTCGGAACGTCGATAGGGAGGCGTAGGCTTCGACAGATTTCTAACTTCTTTTTTTTTTCTCTGTTGTGTCCATCGTCGAAGCGGAAGAGATGGACGAGAAACGAGGCACTCTACGGTCGTCAGAGCAAACAACCTGTTATATTTCGTCGCGCCGAATTGCCCGAGAGCGTCCAGAGAACCGCCGAGAACAAGACACAGGGTAGAGAGAGAGGGAGAGAGAGAGAGAGAATCGCTGAGAAGGTGGATTTTAGGCGCGCGAAAGTTTGCAGACAAAAGAGCGAGAGAGAGAGAGAGAGGGAGATAGAGAGAAAAAGAGAAGAAAACGGGTATTATGGATCGATCGGTTGCTCGGCGACTCGCGGACTCGTCTCGGGCTCGGTGGACGATGATTTGTTATTATACCGAAATCTGTTAGTTTTTTGTCCTACATATTAGCGTTAAAATAGAATGGGAATAGTAGAAATGCCGTTGTGTTGTTTTTTTGTCTCTTTTCTTTTTTTTTCTTTTTTTTTTAAAGAGAACGATGAAGATAAGAAAGAAAAAGTAAATGTAATTACGAATCGACGATTTTTGTCATCGTGGGTATAATATAAACGCAGACGATATCGCGAACACGGGAGAACAAACGAATGGAAAGATGAAAAAAAAAAGAAAAAAGAAGAAGATAAAGAAACGAAAATGGATTTTGAAAAGGTAATGAAAATTAAACGAAACGACATTAATAATGGGCATATTATGTGAATTCGATTCGCGCTACTGGTTGAAAAGATACAGGAAAAATCGGGCGAGACGCCGATGTACGCGCGTCTTTTTCATTTTGTAACGCTCATGCGCCAGCTAACGTCGCTTTTCTTTCTTTTGGCTAAACGCGCGGACAAAGCTGCCGTTTTGTTCGTGCCATCGAAATTCGAAAGTTCGCAAGAGAACGAGAGAAATCACTTTTCGTGTGTTTGCTTTTCGCGGAAGAGAAAAAAAAAGGGAAAATTCGTGTATGCTTCCTTCCCTTCGTATCTCCACAAAATTTATCGCTTTTTAATTATTATCATTATTACTACTACTACTACATTACTACTACTACTACTACTACTACTACGATACTACTACTTACTACTACTACTACGCTACTACTACTACTACTATTACCATTATTATTCGTATTGTTATTATTCTTATTCTATTATTAATTAAGAAAATTACGGGGAACGAAGAGCGAGAGAAATCGATGTTGAAGCGCGCGCGTGAGCGAAGATGCACCGTGATCATCAGCGAGCGATACGCTCGACGAGAACAATTCCTCACAAATAAAGATGATAAAACGTAATTAAAAATAAAGATAAATAAAGTAATATTATAGATGAGAGAAAAAGGGAGTAGTAATGGTGAATTGAGGGAAAAAAGAACACACCCACACGCAAACGAACGACAAACGCAGCGAGACCGATTTGCTTAATCGCGAAATTTTATTAACTGTGTGTAACTCTGAAAATAAAAGTCTATTTGAATGTAAGCGCGTTACGCAAGAGAGGAAAGGAGAACGGTATTACTAATAAATATTATCAGTTATTCCTAAAACTATAGAGTAAACTATAGAAAAAAAAAAGAAAAGGAAAACGAAAAGCTGGACACACTTCATAAAATAGATAGATTTCAACGCAGGCAAAAGGACTTTCTTCATTCGTTTTTTCTTTCTTTTTTTTTTTTTGTCCCCCAGTTTCATCGTAAACGCGCATAATATTACGCGTTTTTAGATGCCGCGAACAAAAGCCGAAGAAAAACCAAGGAACGTGTTAGGAGGGGGGGATGATATGTCCGCCGAGTTCAGGAAAAATAGTTCAAACGCGTTTCACGCGACGGTCAGAAAAGAAAAAGAAAGGAGATGGAAAAAAAAGAGCGAAGAGTAGCCAGTGTAAAATTTTCCCTTTTTTTTTCTTTTTTTTTTTTATATCCGAACTCGTACCTCGAATTCGCAGAAAGAAAAGAACGGAAACACCACGATCGTACTTTTCCGAAATTCTCTTTCGTACCTTTGCATCTTGCACGATTTCTATCGATCTCGGAATAATATCCAGAGAAAGAAAAGGAAACAAAAGAAAGGGAAAACAAAGAAGTTCCTAATCACCGATCCTTTTTTTCCATTTCTATTTCCGCACATCCGAAACTTTCTCCCATTTTTATTCGTTCGTCGACATCGTTCTTCGATCGATTTGTACGAGATCTTCCATCGTTACCGTTACCTTCAACGTTACCTTCCACCTTGTACTTCTTGTTTTCGTCTTCCCTTGTCTGTCCATCCCGTACCTTCCAATTTCGCTATCTCTCCGTCCTTGTCTTAGTCCACGGATAAAAAAAGGCAAAAGAACTGAAAAAAAAAGAACGAACGAATTCATAGCACTCGGAGCTACTTTTTTCCACTCTACGAGCTACATCTAAGAAGATAACCGAGGGAAATTTTTTTTTTTATCGTCGTACGTATTCCGGGCAATGAAACAACAGGAAAAGAAAATGGGAAAGATGCGACAGTTGTCGCTTTCGGGTTGAATATTTTTTACATACACGAACACACACGCAAACCACACAAGGACGAAAAAATAATGAGAAATCAATCTATAATGAATTTATGTGTAACATTTAATTGAGGATTGTATGTAATTGTATATATATGTATATATATATATGAGTACAATGCAGTCCATGAGTTAAGATACATTCTCCTTTTTCTACAATGAAAAAAAAAATAAATTATTCTAGTTAATAAAAAAAAAAAAAAAAATTACGGTGTGCGTTAGTGTCTCTTTTTTTTCTTTGATGCCAATCTTCCCGATGATCATCCATAAGAGTAACTTTTATTTAACGTCGCGAATGCCCATACACTCTGTAAACGAATTTTATTGTTGTGATGTGGAAATAAACGTTTCAAAAATTCTGAGGGTTTTGCTGAAATAAACCGAACAATCGCGTCGCCTACAATCTGTCAATGTCTTTCGATTTCACACATTTTCTTCGTTCGTGAATGAACTCCGCCTGTCCCACGTCTTCCCGCAATCTTCGACGTGTTCACGAATCTACCTGTATATGTCGAAAATGGTTCAGGAAATTAACGAACGAGATATTTTTAATTTATCGATAAAGATGAATAAAAGAAAAAAGAAGGAGAAAAGAAAAAATACAATTTTGTAATAAAAGAGCAACGTTTCACTTCGCTAATATATTATGGAACACTTACTTCTAATACGTATATGTACAGGTCGCAATTAGACTTAATAGCGTCACATTGTAATTTACAATACGCATAGGAAAGAATTGACTAGATTTTACGTAAACGCTTAATACTTCTCGAATTATTCCGTCGACTTTCGATTTCTTTGAAAAACCTTCTTTATCGACGTGGAAACGGTCGATGCATCGGTACTATTACTCCTCGTCTCCTCGTGATTTGAAAAGAAATAGCGAACGATAAAACGCCGAAATCTCACGATCATTGGAAACGATCGTTCCTCCAAAAATGTTGCAATTGTCTTTGAAGCAATTGTTGATATAAATTGGTGGCTTGCCCCAAGAGTATCGTACCGACCGAGTCGAATTGGCGTTATGTCGGCCTGAGAGCACTGACCATGTCGCCCAATAATCGTTCCACGCTGACATCCCCTACCGTCGGCTTGAACAACAATTCTTGCAAGATAGATCGACAAAGCGCGCGTGCGGGCGGCAACAGCAGCAAAAGTCGTCCAACCCTCCGTGCATCCCTCTCACAGAATACAGCTACCGTTTGTTCTTGTAACGCTGTTATTCGCCCTGGTTCGCATAGTCCTCGCGATTCTAAATAAATGTTCACATTCTTATCGCACGATTTCTCTAATTAACATTTGTGCGATTAATTTTAACATTTGTGCAAAGTTCTTTTACCTCCTTTGAAGAGAACTATGGCCTTCAAGCAGGCGTATTCCGAATGATCGACCCTGAGAAGAGCACATTTTGCCAATAACTCTCGCAGCTTCCTTACTTCGTCGACGAGCGTCTCCTTTCTTTCGGATGATAAATCGTTCGGTACCAAAGTGGATTCTTCGACTGGAAAGTTCCACTGCGCGGCGGTCAACACGAAAAGCTCGCTCCAAGATTCTTCCAGTAGAATAGTTTGGTCCCTGTAGGGCAGCTTGAAAGAAACGCCAAACGATCTTTATTAACACGATGCTAATTCGTCTTTACATTTATATAAAGATCACGCGTGAGCACGCGGATTACTTGTAAGAACGAATGAATGCTTCTCGCCCATCTGACAGCAAAGAAGAGTAATTTCGCCGCAAATTCGTAGATGTTCTCCGTGGGTAAAATAGAGAAGCTAGATATATAATCCGTTGCTGCAGAGTTCGTGACGGACGGTGCTAGTCGAGCGCATGCGAGTTCCTCTGCAAAATTCATAAATATTCGTCGTTTGAACAAACAAACGTATTTCGATAAACTAGAAAAATTTCTACGAGAAAATTCTTACCCTTTGGTTCGATTCTCGTTTCGATCGGTCCAGCCTCCTCGGAACTCGTCACCTCGTCCTCTTTAGCTGTGTTCACTGTTAACGGCTCTGTCGGTGAACGTGGCAAAAAATGTGCTACAAATGAAAAAAGTATCGTAGTAACTGTTTGTACAACGTGAAATAATTTCTCATACGTTTTTATATGGAACATTAAAGATGAAATAATTTAGGATTAATATTTACAATAGAGTAGATTGTTTCGCTTACCGACCGATGGTGTAAAAGCCGACATTGTCGGCTTGAAGGGAAATAGCGCAGGATACAAAAGGGGATGGTAAGGGTTGCTCGCTGCGTGGTAAACGTGTGGGATTCCAGGATATAAAACCGACGGACCTCTTCTCGCGGCTGCGACCAGGGACGAGGTATTTCGTGGAGCTCTTTCGTGCTGCACCGCTGTGAGTATCATAATTCCTTAGTATGTCATATTCAGTTATGCATTTGTGGCCAGACAGACAATTTATTCAATTGGCGTCGAAACAATCCTAACTATAATATTTTAGTTCTTAATATCAAGTAGTACCTCGGTAGGCATAAATTGTTTTTTAAGTCGTCAAGTATTTCGAGTACACACGTACGAAATATATATCGTAAACTTCACGATTAAATTCTACCAATTTAACGCTCATATCAAAGTCTTATCTGGCACGAAACAGAATTATAAATTACCCCAACGAATTATCCCCCGTTTAAAATCAAACATCCCTTACCCACATATGTTGCTATACGAAAGCAAAATCCCGCTTCACCCTGCGATCGATTTCATGCTTTTTTTATAGCATCGGCAAGGATATAATCAAAACCATGAGAGTGGAGACCACTAATGGTACCTTTCCTGCCCTCCTTCGCTAATTGATATCCCCGCGCAATCAAGTGTTTGGATTATCGGGTCGGGCTAGAAGTGTTTACAAAACCTGTGAACGTCAGGCTGCTTGTGACACTGCTCGCGGCGTGGCTAACTTTCCGGATTCTGGCGTGAGCAAGCACGAATATAGAATTTCATGTGGGTGCGAGCACCCTTTTTTTCCTCTCTCTCTCTCTCTCTCTACTCGCCAGCCCTTCGAGCAACTTCCCTATTTCTTTGTTGGCGAACGGAACGTCACCATGCATTGTAATATTTTGGATGTTGGCTACGAATGTTCGTGCATTCGCGCGAGTACGCGGCCGCAATAACGGGGGACGTATCGGCGCCTGTCATCCGCAAACCTTTTGACGAACGTGTCGACGTCGAATCTCGGGTATGTTAAGGCGAAGCTAACTTTCCAGTAAGTTTCTTCTCGTTCCACGTGTGATGTATTTCAACGACGCTTTTAGAACGAGTATCGAAAATAGCGGATACGTTTCGAAACTGAACGTAAACCTCGTATGGTATTACGCGGAAATAGCGAATCACTTTGGACCGAGGTGATTCTTCGAGATTAAATTACGCCTTACGTTTGCACACGAACGAAAAGCTATTCGAGTTTTCGGCGCGCCTGACAGTCTGACATTTGCAGCATATTTCGTACGAAGAGAGCCCTATGAAAAAGCGCCGAATCGAATTTGTTACAAGTAAAGAATAAAAACGTAATCACCGTAGAAACGAAGCGTACCATCTCGTTTCATGTTGACCTGAAGGCACTTGGTAAACCGACATGCCTGGCACTGATTACGACGAGAAACGTCCACGATACAGCGACCGTTCTCCTTACAGACGTAATCCAGGTTTCTGCACGATGGAATTGAATATTAATAGAACTTAATTGCACAACTAGATTTCGTTAAATTTAAACCAACAGTTAATAGCGAAATAAATATTAGCATACGCCTCGTGTTCGCTAGCGACGCGGTTACATCGAAAACCACAGCAAGTTAATTACCTCGCATACCTGCGGATCGACCGCTTAAAGAAGCCACGGCATCCGTCGCAACTCGGTACTCCGTAATGCTTGCCGGATGCTTTGTCGCCGCAAACTTTGCACAAACTCTCACCCCGGCTACTGTCCTCCATGCTTTCCTGAAACTTAGTCGTGAAAATGCAATTAAGTTGTCAGATTTGAAACTGTTCGAGACCGATATCGCGAATTACACTTTTCTTTCTCGTTATTCGATTATAAATTTATTTCCTAAGATTCGACGATGTTCGTTGGTTCTTATCGTCAATAACAGCGACAGCGTTGCTTTTTAGCGTTGCGATCCGATTTTCGTTGCGACCATCGCCGCTCTCCACGCGATGTCTCGTTCAACGAAAGAAGATATAGTCACGGCTCCTTGCATACTGCAACACCTAATGAAATGTTGAACGATGGTCGAACGTCGCTCGATTCTCTCAATGCTCGCGACTTATCCACTTCTCAAGTTCACCGATATTACACCGAGATAACGTCTCGTCACATTATTTACGCGATGTTTCTTATTCTTTCGACCAGCGATCGTAGATTACCCGTAAACGCACGCAAACGTCCAAGCTCTGATAATGACTCTTAAGGAAGAAAATCGCTTGCGCGATGAAGAAACGAAACGGTACAAAAGTCAGAAAGTCGGGGGGGAAAGTCCGACGTCGAGCTAAAATATCCCTAACGCTTCCGTTGACTTTTGCAACCCCTTTCCCGGCGTTGCTCACGGCTGTTCTCCACCTCTTCGTTCTCCATGTCCCTTTCGCCGGCGAGAGTTCCCTCTTTGTCGAGGGCCTCGGCCTGGCTCTGCCACGGTCTTTCTCGTTCTAACAGGACGCCCGGCCACCTGTAGGGTTCCCAGGCTCAATAATGCATCGGTGACGTGGAGCATCGCTCAGGCTCGTCGATGGTAAACCACCGAGAGAGTCCTGGTGGATGATGCCATGGTTCGCCGCACCCTTCGTCCCGAAGACCAGTTTCACCGACACCGTCATTATCGTTGCCGCCATCAACCCTCAAAGAGATCTGCTGCCAGTGCAGTGGCCTGACTTCTTAATAGTCTGGCCATAGACAGGCAGGAGGAACGCTGGCCGTCGCATGCGAGCGTTAACTTGCCATAATATTTTTATCGCCCGATGACTACTTTCGCGACGCACATGACGGAAGCGTTTCATAGTTGCACGATACGCGGACGAATCTCAATTTTTAATGGTAGCCGATTCACCATGCTTCGTTTGCCAACTTTTCTCGTCAATTGGCGAAACGGAATTATCGATGGTCGTCGTGATTTGTTCCGCTACGTTACCGACTAGCAGAGTTTCTGAATCGACGTACTTTGACTCGTAAGTATAGCCGACAAACGTGCGAGAGTAGATTTTTGGATACTCAGCCGCCTACGGCCAGATATTTTAAAACGTCTTGAAGCTCGTCGCGATGAAATTTGTCACGCAACCGAAAGTTCGAATATCGTAGTGGAACTATCGGTTCGCCGATACGTGTGCTGTTACACGTGGGCGGATTATTTAACCCTTGCTTGCACGAACACCCATCGCGTTTACGCACGCAGGTAACATATGTCGACCATTGCTTGAACACGAGCAATCTGGTACTCCTACGGAAAGTCAAACTTTGTCATTCCTCGTCAGGATAGGGGAAGCTAAGTAACCGTGGAAAATTACGCGCTTTGAAAAAAAAAAGGGGACAGAGAAGGTACGCCAGAGACGCGGACCAAAAATTTCGACAACTTTGACGAGTAACAAAAGGCAGAACCGAATCGCGTACATTGACCGACGAAAGATATCGCAAATGGAATGTTGCGTAAGGGCAACGTTGGCCCTTAATTAATGGGTTGATCAACAACGAATCTTAAGACAGCTAACTTTGTATGCTATATCAACGACAACGAGCAATATCTGTAAATCATGTTGTTAAATCGTTAATCGTTAGAACGTTAATTAAATTAATAATATTCCTGTAAAGGAGAAAGGCTACGGTTACGACTACGAAATTATAATTTTCCAAGATATCACGCTAGTTTATGGCGAATGTATTTTTATCTAATATGCAAGTGGGTACCCTTGGACAGGAAATAAGTTAGAAAAGACAAGATCAGGTCTAGGACGATCGAAACAATTGAAAGTTGGAGGCAATGAGGAGGAGGAGGATGGGTTATTTTTAGAAGCAATTTAATGCAAACCCATCGATCACTGGAACTTTGATAAGCTCGTCACAGTTGCGCTGCAACCTGGGTTTAATGTCAGCTCGATGACTTTTCGATAGTTGTGCCCGGTGCAAGGCGACGAAAGTTGGTTGCGGTCGGTTGAAAATTCGACAAGCTCCTATGCAAATTTTTTTCCTCGTCACGTCATATGCGTCCTTTCGCATAAAAAATGCTGATGGATCGAGCACGAACAGAGGACACCGTTCTCTCGCATCGCGTTTCATCAAATTCGAATCTGGAATATGATTTTTCTCTGCTCATGATATAACATTTCCCCTTTACCTGCTGGTTTTCTCTTCTTTTTTCCATTGATGCAAGTTTTATCAATTTTTAGTATATATTTACTTACAAATAATTTGTATAATTTCCTTAGAAATTCCGTCGCGTAAATCTTTGTTCTCGATTCTACGTAGAATTTATACGTAGACGTCGATCTTTATCGGCTATTTATTAGAAAGAAGTTAACGAAAATAACTTTTCGAACAGCTTCGCGCTGAAAGTTATGCAGCGAGTTATCCGTTTAACTTGCAGCTGTGCTACGTATTTCATTTAAAGTCGTTCCGCAAGTTAGTATCTGCTTTCATCGTTAAGACGCGATTTTAATTTTCAATTCCAAATTTTCATTATTACTAAGGCGAAGACTTTTAACGACTCTTCCAGTCATTTCGTTCAGATGATCACGTCGATATCTTTCATTGTCCAAGCACGATGCAAGGTCTGGGGTTCATTGAGAAAAAAAGCACGTGGCCTGTCACACCTTGCTGACTAACTTCCACCTGGACCTTCCGCTCGTGTCTACGAAATCGTCGATATCCTTTTCCCCTGAACCGTGGCGCGTCGGAAACTGTGATTTTTTTAAAACGAAAAGACGATATCAACGGTTCCCGCGGCGTTTCGGTATTTCGAACGAGCGTTTAATTATAGAAGCTCACCGGTAAGTTCGTCGGTGTAGCGAAACATTTTTCTTCCACCCTGTCGAGGTTGTCGTCAATTTTTAAGGAGTTCCGCGTAAACAGTGTCGTTAGCCTATGCCACCCCTGACGTGACTTTTGTTGTCCGAAAGGGTCGACTGCAATTAGAAGCCTCTGAATAATTAATCGTTGCATCGCAATCGTAATGATAGCGTGGCTCGTGTTACGTCGCCTCATTTGCCTATTTAAACAATTTCGTCAGTTCGCGATAGATCGTATGTCGTGTGTTGCTTCGGCACGCAACGATATCCTACGCGCGTTAGAAGCGACATTAACGATACAATTGCTGGTTGAAGATCCAATTACCGCTACCGCGTCATTTTCTTTTTTCCTTTTTCTTTTTACGCTAGTCTGTGTAGTCTATGATCCACGCAATTATCGCGACATTTTTCTTATCGTGTCGTTGCGACGCGATATATTTTTGTACGTCGCTTCGATGTTGCAACGTAATTGTTTTTCTTAATGTGATAGTGACAAGACCGTGCAAGCGTGGTACAACGTGGATCGTTTGATCTGTCCGATCTATTTCCATGAAGCGATATTTTTAGACGACGCGCGTTCCATCGGCAAACGATTGTTGGAAAGAGCCAACGGGAGGTCGGATCCGACTGTTAAATTCATTTAACTGCGCGTAGGATTAGTTTCGGTCGTGCACGTGCCCCGCTTCACACGATTGACAGTGATTGCGTGATTCGGTTGTACATGCCGTGCACGACGCTTGTGCTACAACGTGTAGTGGTTCCAGGAGACCCGTGATTTCACGTAACAGATACTTTTCTGGTTTTCGTGATACCGGCTCAACAACTGGTGCGCGTCTGTTCCCTGCTCGCTATTTTATTCCGATTCTTCCCGTATCTGCAGCGCTATTGCTTAACATTTATATGAACACGGGGCAACGAGTTCGATCTCGTACGGGACGATAGTCACGCGTCGGTAATTAAAAGTTTCCGTAACGATATCGCTATATGCATACATCGCATATGATCATCGTCGTAGGTCGTTCGCTATCTCCTGGAAGAATCAAACAAAAGAAAAGACGTCTCGCTTGCGAACGACGTCTGATATGGTCGTTCCAAAACTACCTCGTCGACGATCATTTTCCACCTTCTGTTAAAATATATCTCGCGAACTACGGATGATATCGAGCCATCAGGGACTTAACGCCTGGCCAATTCGAATCGCGTTGAACATTGTTCGGTGTCGATCGAACGAATGGCGACGATTCCGAATAAAATAACGCTAGTTACAAAGATACATGGAAGGAAGAGAACACGATGAACGGCCAAGTATGACGCCAGTCACGACGCGTCTGGTAAACTTGTAATACCTATGATTATGGTATAAATATAAAAGCGTCAAAGTAAGCGACGCGAATGGAAATACGTTGCATTTTTGCTGAATGGACACGATGGTTTTCGAGGGTGCGTCGCTTACTACGACGGCGCCACACAGGGTTTCGCATTTGCGAAAGCGTTTTTAGCATATGCGTGGACCTGGCGCAACAGCAGCTATTATAGGCGACAGAGGCGAGCCGTGG